CACTCACCATCATGCCCCACCTCCAGGCCTGGCTCCAGAGGGGGGCCCCAGTGACCCGCGTCCGGGCGAGGGAACACCAGATCCAATGTTTGTATCCATGAGGGGTCTTCGGGCTGCGCTTTGTCTGGTTCCTCACCTAGGACCTGTCTGCCATGGGTGACCCTACCAGGGGCATAAAGCCCCAGACAGCATAGCTCCTAGGATCATTGGGACACTCAAACCCCTCCACCAYGATAAGGTAGCAGCCCAACCCCAGAAATTCAAATTCTATTCCTCACAGCATAGAAATATTCGTAATGAAGGTGTTCACTCATAATGTCCTTTTTCCACTTTTGTAACTCCTCCTCTGTCCAGATATCTTTGTTTGCCAAGACGTTCTGTAGAATTGTGTGATGTTCCAAACCCCACTCTACTCGTACCACAGAGTCATCAACAATGTCTCTGAACCGGTATACTCTTTCTCTGGGTGTAGGCTCTACATCATCATTCTCAGTTGATAGCTTGGGATCCTCTGGTGGAGATGAAGAGGTGTTCAGTTGTTCTCCAGTTTCAGTTTGGAGGAATTTCTATTTTTGTTCCTCTGTTTGGGGTGTTGATGGAGAGTCCAGTCATTCTTCTGGTTCTGCAGGCTGAGGGAGATCCTCTCTCTGTAGATCTGGTTTTGCAGAAGTCTCCTTATCATTCATCTGAACTCTATGTTCCATTATCTCAGTCGGCTGCAGTTGTTCTTCAGGCTTCTCAGATATCAGCTGATTATTCTCCGGTTGTCTCCTGTTTCCAGCAGGAACTTGGTTTAGGAAATATGTCATATTTGAAGCCAGCAATTAGGTTCCAAATCAACTCAAAGTCAGTCCATCTGACTTGAACAGATGTTTTCTCTCCCAGAAAAGGTTGAAGTTATTGATAAAGCTGACAGAGTTGTCAGCACAGAACTCTATCAACCAATGGTTTAGAGCAAACAGTCTACTAAACTTCACATCACCACCTTAGGCTGTAGGGATGGGTCCACTGAGGTACACATCCATCTTGAGAGTCTGAATTTCATTCAACAATTGATTGAAATTCTTCAAATGTTCTGTCTATCATCTCTTGACATCATCACTTCTTGCATGGATAACAAGATACTTCAGAGCTGGATACTCTGCAGTGGTTTCCAGTGGTGAGATGAGACACCATGTTATCAGTGAAGCTAAGAACCTTGGCTTTTTTTTTTTGTTCCAAAAGTTTTTAATCTCATCAACAGCTTTGTCTTTTATTATCAGCATTTCTTGATTCATGAAAGTCTCTCTSTGAACTTCCTTTAGTTTTAGGTGATTATGAGTTAACATGGTGGGGGAAGATGCCAAACAGACCCGGTAGACCCAAATGTTGAGAGTTTGCTGGGAATGCCTGGTAGAAGAACCTGTCAGACAGATCTTCAAATCACACCTGCGAGAGAACTTCAACCACATTCCAGCTGAGGAGGGGGACATTGARTCAGAGTGGACCATGTTCCACGCCTCAGTTGTTGAAGTGACTACCTTGAGCTGTGGCCGCAAGGAGTTTGATGAGGCCTTGGACAAACTTTCAATTGGCTCCGAGGAGATTCTGGCAAACCATCCAGTGGCTGAGGCGAAAGAAGCAGCACTTCACTAGCACTGTGCTCAGTGAAGGTGGGGTACTGTTGACTTCAACCAGTAATGTYGTTGGGAGGTGAAAGGAATACTTCTCGGACCTTCTCAATCCCACCAGCACATCTTTTATGGAGGAAACAGTGTGAGGACTTWGGGATTGATCTGTGTATAACTGGGGCTGGGGTAGTTAAAAAGCTCCATTGCAGCAGGGCTTCAGGAGTGAACGAGATCTACCATGATTTCCTCAAGGCTCTGGATGTTGTGGGGCTCTCTTGGTTGACACACCTTTGCATCATGGCGTGGACATTGGGGCAGTGCCACTGGATTGKCAGACTGGGGTGGTGGTTCCTCTCTTTAGAAAGGGAAACTGGATGGTGTGCTCCAATTACAGGGGCATCACTGTCCTTATCCTCCATGTAAGGTCTTTTCGAGGGTACTGGAGAAGAGAGTCCGATCGATAGTCGAATCTCAGATTCTGTAGGAACAATGTGGGTTCCGTCCTGGCCATGGAACACTGGACCAACTCTTTACCCTCACTAGGATCCTCWAGGGGTCATGGGAGTTTGCTAATCTAGTCTACATGTGTTTTGTGGACTTTGAGAAGGCATTCGACTGTGTTCCTCGAGGTACAGTGCTACACAAGTGTGGGTTTATGTGTCCGTTGATATGGGCCATTCAGTCCCTATACAAGCGGTGTGAGAGTTTGATTTGTATTGCCGTGTTACGTGCTTTGGGTACATTTTATCTATTTTTGCTTTTCCCCAGATTGTTATTGTTTAAAGTTGGGTATTTTTTCCTTTGTTTTTTATAGGAAATRTTATATTTTCAGAATTGGTTACTACTTATAGTTAAAACATTTTTTAAAGGCTCTGATTGGTAAGCTGCCCTGCCTGCCTATAAATACGGCTGGTCTGTAGCACCTTTTTGCTTCTCCTCCCTCCTCTTCTCACCTTTTGTTGGTGCTGATTGCACTCAGCTGGCTGCAGGTGAGACTGGCTGYAGGACTTGGCCCTCTGCCTTAGCCTTCCTCAGTCTGCCATGAGTTTTGATTTTTGTTGATCCTTATGTTTTTGTAGCTTTGGTCTGGTGGGACCAGTCATCTTCTTTTCGTGAGTATGTTTTTATTTTTATTTTTTGTCTTTTTATGATGTTTTGTTTATTTATTTTTTTGTTAGTTTAGTTTGGTGCGGCTGTGGCTTTGACAGACCTGTACTGGTCTGTTGTGGTGAAGAGGGAGCTGAGCTGTAAGGCAAAACTCTCTGTTTACTCTTGGTCTACGTTCCTACCCTAATCTATGCCCGAAAGAACAAGATCATGGATACAAGCAGTCAAAATGAGTTTCYTCTGCAGGGTATCTAGACTCTCCGTTAGAGATAAGGTGAGAAGCTCGATTATCCGGGAGAGACTCAGAGTAGAGCTGCTGCTCCTCCACATCGAGAGGAGCCAGTTTAGGTGGTTCGGGCATCTGGTTAGGATGCCTCCTAGACGTCTCCCTAGGGTGATATTTCAGGCGTGTTTGACTGGGAGGAGACCCAGGATGGATGAATGAATGGATGGACATTGTTATCTGTTTAGATTCCAGCTTGCTGCTGTGTTCTTCCCCTCTCTACTGCTGGAGAAAAGACATTTCTCTGTACTGAGTAGAAATCCCTGTCATTCTGGCCATTTTGTATCAAACAAATTTTGAATTTTTCCTGAGATTTTTTGGTCTTGCGCCAACAGCCTTCCAAGCAAGTCAGCTTTCCAAAAATGTTCCACTCTCTTCTGAATCCCAATTTTTACCCTGAATCTTGTTTGCATGCATGTTGATTYATTCGAACCGTTCACCTCCTCTATACGATGGATCTTGATCCCCAACATGTCTCCTTGTGGAGAAGCTGGCAGAAATCCTCTTTGGAAAAGAAAGAGGGAATCTTGAAAACTTAGCTGCCCTTGTTCTCAGCAGTTAACGTCTCAAAGTCCTCTGAGGTTTTTCAACAGCAGTCAAAAATAAAAATCAAATGTTCTATCTTATTCAAGATCACCCATCACGTCGGGGTCACCAATTTTGTATGAAAAGCATGTTCAGAATTGGGAGTCGGAAAAAGTTTGCAGAAAACCAGTTTATTTTCTTCTAAAAAGTTTTATTCAAAAATCTRACTCCATGAAGGCCCACAGCCAGCCAGGCAGCAGGTCTGCGTTGAGGTCTTGGTCTTATCAGAACAATAATAGCWGTCCTCTCAAGTAACCTAGCGTCTGTCCCAGGCTGCTCTAAAAGAAGACTAATGAAGACTGAATCACCCGTAAAGTCACATGAAAACACCCCTGGAGGTTAGCTCCTTTACGTCCGACAGAACGTAAACCAACTTTGCTTTTGTAAGAAGGAAGGACTTCTATGTCTTATCGATATAAGACATACTGACTCTCTGTTCAAAGCATATAAGTGTACATAAGTGTAAAATACAAGACTGGATCTTAAATTCAGTKAATCAGTCACAACATTTCCTTCAAGGAGAAAATAGATGCAGTCAGAGAGGATGTGGAGGTAGTTTAGTGAAGACAGGATGACTCGCTGTGGAGATTCCTGGAAAAGTAACAGCCCAATAAAGAGTTGAAACTCTTTTTATGAAACTCTCCAGGAAACTTATCTAAACTACAGAAAATGAAATATAAAGTCACACATAACTACCTGAACACTTAAACTTGATTTGTCAGATTTTATCATATGATACATCACATACCTGCAGGAAGAGGAGGAGCAAAACTGGATCAACAAGTTTTAACGTCACATTCAGGAAAAGAAAGTAAAAGTGTTTATGTGTCGGAGCAGAGCTGCAGCAGAAACAAACATCTGAAGAAAAATAATCTGAATTCATCTTTTCTTTGATAACATCTGATTCTAATCCAGGTGAGTTCAGATGAATGTTTTTGACAGTTTCTACAGGCAGCTTTAAYACAAAACTCAGAGCTTCAGTCAAACASGAAGTTCCTCTTTTCTCTTCTTTCTGACTTTTGATCCTGTCGTTGATTCTTTGACTCTCAGAGTTCAGACATGTCTGCTGGCAGCAACCTGAGGTCTGAGGATCAGTTCCKGTGCTCCATCTGTCTGGACCTGTTCACTGATCCGGTCAGCACACCATGTGGACACAACTTCTGTAAAACCTGCATCAGTCAACACTGGGACAGTAATGTTCTGTACGACTGTCCTCTGTGTAAAGAACGGTTCAACACCAGGCCTCAGCTCAGAGTCAACACTTTACTGAGAGAGATGGTTGATCAGTTCAGACATGAAGCTCAACAAGCTGCAGAACCAGGAGAAGTTCCCTCTGACGTCTGC